CCTCAGGCGTCGCTGTCCCCAACACCACCCAGACTGCCTCCACGAAGGAGTCCATCCCCATCGCCCCGTCAGCCCAGATCGCCGCAGACGTTGCCGCCCCCGCCCCCGGCCCCGGCGCCGGAGAGGTCCGTGCGGCCGCGGCGCAGGAGCCCGACGCCGGCCGCGCCCCCAACCCCGTCGGCGGCGCCGTCGCGAACGCCGCTGCGCTGCGCGCCGGCAGCGACGCCGCCGAGGACGCCGGTCGCACGCTCAAGGGCGCCGCGGCTGACGCGCAGGGCGCGGCTTCCGACGCTGCCGGCTCTGTGAAGAGTGCCCTGTTTGGCGCCAAGAACGACGCGTCCGGTGCTGCAGACTCTGTCAAGGACGCCGCCTCCGACGCGGCTGACAAGGCTAAGGGTCTGTTCGGCGGTAGCAAGAGCGACGTCCGTGGCGCCGCCTACGACGCCAAGGGGGCCGCCAACGACGCCGCCGGCTCGATCAAGGACGCGGCCAACGACGCGGCCGACAAGGCCAAGGGTCTGTTCGGCGGCAGCAAGAGCGACGTCCGCGGCGCCGCCTACGACGCCAAGGGGGCCGCCAACGACGCCGCCGGGTCGATCAAGGACGCTGCCTCCGACGCTGCTGACAAGGCCAAGGGTCTGTTCGGCGGCAGCAAGAGCGACGTCCGCGGCGCCGCCTACGACGCCAAGGGGGCCGCCAACGACGCCGCCGGCTCGATCAAGGACGCGGCCAACGACGCGGCTGACAAGGCCAAGGGTCTGTTCGGCGGCAGCAAGAGCGACGTGCGCGGCGCCGCCTACGATGCCAAGGGGGCCGCCAACGACGCCGCTGGCTCGATCAAGGACGCCGCCTCCGACGCTGCTGACAAGGCCAAGGGTCTGTTTGGCGGCAGCACGAGCGACATCCGCGGCGCCGCCTACGACGCCAAGGGGGCTGCCAACGACGCCGCCGGCTCCGTGAAGGACGCCGCCAACGACGCCGCTGACAAGGCCAAGAGCCTGTTCAACCAAGGCAATGTCAAGACCGTCGCCTTTGACGCTAAGGGCGCCGCCTCCAACGCCGCAGACTCGGTCAAGGACGCCGCCGCCGACGCGAGGGGCGCGCTCAAGGGCGCCGCCGGCGATGCGAAGGGTAGCCTCTTCGGCGCCAAGGGCGACGCCAAGGCCGCCGCCTCCGACGTGACCGGCTCCATCAAGGGCGCCGCCTCGGACGCCGCCGCCAAGGCCAAGGGTGCCGCCGCCGACGCGAAGGGCGCCTTCAGCGGCGCGTCCGGCGACGCCAGGGGGACCGCCTCCGAGGTGCAGGGCAAGCTCAAGGGCGCGGCCGCCGAGGTGCAGGGCAAGGCCAAGGGCGCTGCTGAGTCAGCATCGGGCAGCGCCAAGTCTGGCGGTGGCGGCTTCCTGTCTGGCCTTCAGCGCATCTTCCGCGGCCCCGCGGCCAACGTGTCATCCACGCCCAGCTCTGGTGAGCTTCTGACTGCGCGGGACCCCGTGCGTCTTTGATTGTAAACATTGGATCTGAGGCTTTGCAGGGAGATTGTTTCACAGTTTGTTTCACAGATTGATGCAGATTGCTTCCAGCCCCGATGTTCTGCACACCCTGCCTACCTGTCAAGATCTTGTTCTGAGTGTAGGGCAAAGACGCAGACGCATGCACGCTTCCTGCAAGCTGCATTCTCCGCCTGGTGTTTTTCACTCCTCTCTGCCTTTGCCTTTGCTCCAACACACTTGACGCCCCTCCTTCCCTTGAACCCCTGCCCCAAAACCACCATCACAGTGGCTGTCCCCAACTCGTCTGCGGCGGCCTCTACGCGCAACGCCATCCCCATCGCGCCCTCCGGCAAGATCGCCGCTGACGTGGCGGACCCCGCGCCCGGCCCTGGCATCGGGGAGATCCGGGAGGCGGCCAGGCAGGAGCCCGACGGCAGCATCCGCGCGTCCAAGGTTGGTTCAAGCTTCTGATCTGGGGATTGCGGCAGTTTGGGTATTGTTGCATCATTTAAAGGTTGTGTGGTGAATTCAGTTGGGCTGTGTGCGTGCTGCTGGGCTTGATGCCTGCAGTACTCTCAGGGCGCAGGTAGCTTTGCCCCACATATTCCAGTGACTGTTCCTTATTATCATACATGTGCAAAGGTCTTATCGCGCTCCTCTGGTCTTTGTCTCGGATGTTTTGCTGACGCTGCCCACACCTCCCTGTCTCCCCTCCACCACCACCACCTGGGCCCACCCCCGCAGCGCGTCTCCGCTGTGCCAAGTGAGGGCGGGCGCTTTGTGGCTGCCAGCATCTTTGGCAACTTCCAGGAGAAGGACAAGAGCCCCCTGAACGGTGAGAGGGGTTTGGGGCTCTGGGCGGGTTTCCTTCTGTTTTGTTTCCTTGTCTGTGGTGTGAGCGTGTCGTCTAGCAATGAGCGCTGTCTGTGGTGTGTATGTGTGCCGCCCAGCAATGAGCGATGTGGCGCCGTCTGTCGGTGGGGCCTTGAGCAAAAGGGGTGGGGGAGGGCAAGTGGTTTGGAAGTATTGAAAGATTGTGTAAGTGTTCCCTGCCTCGGGCTGCAAAGCGTTGACAATGCGCTCATCCCTCCGCCAATCAGGCCCCATCTATAATGAGTACCGCTTCCCCTCATCCCCGTCGTGCCCTCTTGTGACATTCCACCCCCCCC